ATCTGGGACGTTGGGCTCATATGTTTATATAAGCTAGTGGGCTAATCCCATCTTTTCCCACATATATATATATATATATGGTCAACAGCCTCATGTAGATAAGCTAAATACACCAACGGCCCAGATTGAATTTGGGCCGATCTGGCCGTTGACGCATTTAGCTTATCTACATGAGGTTGCTGACTATATATATATATATATGTGTGTGTGTGTGTGTGTGTGTGTGTGTGTGTAACAAAGTTTATGTAAAAAAATCAAATTAAGACGCACATAAAAAAAATCACCAGAAGAGTTTGTTTTGATGTTCAAAGAGGTTTGTTTATATAAGGGATTTGGATTTGTATAAAAAATATTAAAATTTAAATACGAAATACAATCATGACAATCAGATATACTTATATTCAATCTGGGGCACTTGGCTTGTACTATTCCATCAAATAGTGGGATAACATCTTTTTCCATATGTGTGTGTATTATTTATTTTTTATCTTTTTATTTTTCCACACAAAATAGTTGGAAAAATGTTCTAATGATAATGAGTCTGGCAATATTTTTTTAGTGTCGGGTTTAGATTTATTTACTTTTAAATTTTAGCTTTGATTTGTGTTTGGACTTGCTGCCCCTTTCCAACATTGAGTTTGGATTGAGTATATTGACATTTTATTGAGATTTGGAACATGTTTCATGATTATTTCTACCTTATTTTCAATTTGTAGTTACTTCCCCTCAATGGTTGATTTGGCGACTTTTGTCAATATTTGGGTTCTTCTTTTGTGATTTTTCTGGTTTTTTATTTCTTAAATTACTAAATTTTTCAGGTATGAATTGGGGTTTTTTCACCACATTTTTAATAATAGGTTACTTTATTCAATATTAGTTTGATTTGTTGCATCCTAAGCATTAAGTTATATTTATTGAATTTTGGCTTTTGGTAGTTCCTTAATTTTTAAGGTTTTAAGTGGCTATTTTTTGGCTTTTGAGTAGATAATAAAGTCGTCTTATGCGTCAAATAAAGAAGTTGATCTAGGTTGGAAAGATGAAACACAATTTTCGTAATAGAATTGATAATGTTGGCATAAATAAAACAAAGATTTTGTTAGGATACTCGTGCATAGAGTATTTTCTAAATATACTTAGCATTCATTGGATACTCATTACTCTTGTTTTGTAATACAAAATTTTTCGAACAATGACATTTTTTTGTCATTATGAAAGATATAATAGATATTTTTATAAAAAACTAGCGGTATTTTATTAATAGTTAAAAACTAATTAATACTATATATAAGTGATGTCACACTTCATGTGGACGATGTCATTATTTACTATAGTTAAAAACTACAATTTTCTCTATCAAGAAGCTCTATTTTATCTTTGGTTAATTATCTAAAATACCTCTAAACAAAAGTTATTACATTGTGGGGATAAGGGCATGAATTGTTCGAAACTATTGAGTATATTAAAAAAATATGAAAAACTTATTAAAAAAATCCAAAACTGCACTTTCTATGCAACTTATCCCCAACTTCTTCTCACTTTTTTCTCCAAAATACATTTTTCTCTGCAAATACTCCCAATTAAAAAATAAAATAAGATAATACCTAAACTACCACCCATTTTACTTTACCCTCGCTTACTTTACTTAACCTAACTTTTTAACCAAAGTTTCTCTCTCTCTTAACCGCAATATCCCTCTCTCTCTATCTCTCGCTCTAAATCCCGGCCCGAGCTTCTTCCCTCTCTCTCGCTCTCTCTCTCTCGCTCCTGGCCTAACCTCCCTCCCTCTCTCTCGGCCTAAGCTCTCTCCCTCTCTCTCTTCAAAGGACTGAAGGCCCACCTTCTCTGTGAAACGGCTCGGGCTCTCAATATCTTCGCCCTAGCCCAAGACCCCAAAGCTCGAGCTCGATTGTTAGCTCAATCTCTCAGCCCCAAATCAGCCCCATCAAAGGTATGAAAGAGTTAAAGAGTTTTTTAACTATTTCTTATGAATAAATATATAGCAGATTCATGAAAGAAAATCGCTAAAATCTGTTGTTGGGTTATTGGTTGTTGAAATTTGTTGTATTTGATCTATCATTAACAAGGAAGGGATTGAATGCTCATGGCTTAAAAATTATTGAAGTTTTTCTCATGAATTTGTAATGAAGTTTGGCTTTTTTTCTCTATTGTCATTTGAGGGCTAGAATGTTATTGGTGGTAGAAAATTTTGGGCGCATTTTAGATTGAAAATCATTCAGTCGTTTGATCTAAATTGATTGCTCATGGCTTAAGAATTATTGAAGTTTTTCTTTTAAATTTGTTATGGAGTTTGCCTTTTGTTCCCTATTGTCTATTGCCATTTTAGGGCTAGAATGTTCTTAGTGGCAGGAAATTTTGGGTTTTTTTTAGATTGAAAATTATTCAGTCATTTGATCTCAATTGACTGCTCATGGCTTAAGAATTATTGTAGCTTTTTTTATTAAATTGTTATGGAGTTTGTCATTTTTTCTCTATTGTGATTTTAGGGCTTGAATGTTCTTAGTTGTAGTAAATTTTGGGTTTGTTTTGCTGTATCTGTTTTCTCATGGTTATCTTTGCATCAATTGTTTATTATTTGATGATCGATGTTCAAATTTAGTTTGTCATTAAAAAAAACAAAAAAGCCTAGCTCTTGTTAATATTAGTAGTAGCTCTTTAGAAAAAAAAAAAACACAAACCCAAAAACAGATTTTAGGATGGTCTATATTTCTAGTTGTATATATTGTCCTTATCTATATTGTTAGATTGAACTATAGCTTAGAGAAATGGTATTGCTTAACTATAGCATAGAGAAATAGTATTGTTTATATACTAGAAATTTAAGAAGAGGTTTTTTTTTAATTTCAAATGCATTCGAATTCACATCTATAAAGTCATTTAGTTTTGTTTCATTTCGCAAAAGAAAGGCATTGTGCTAGTTTAACTTGGATATGAACTAGTTTTTACTTTGTAGAATATTGAATTGCATGTTCATCTTAAAAGTTGGGTCCTCTTTTGAGGATCTTTATTTCAAGACTACTTTCCATAATTTACTAAAAAATTCATAAATTAATAGGTTAAAATCGTTAAGATTGTAGTATTTAAGTAATCATTGTTATAAATGTTTTTGTAGGTTATATCCCCCCAACAATATGTCTACCTACCTCTTGTTAAAATTTAGATGTAACTCTTTTAAAAAGATCTAGATTGAGCCTACCAAACTTGAGCAAGTTCAATGTGTGGAATGTAAATTATTACAAATCTTGCGCAGGACAAAAGAAAATGAGTGATAGCAGATTGATTTATTGTATTTTTTGTAGAGAACTCCAATCAAATGTCGATGAGACTTTAGATTATATTGGTGGTGATGGATGTACATTTATGATTGACAATAGAACTAAGTTAGATGACTTGCGAAAATACGTAGCAGAGAATTTCTCATTAGACATGCACTTGATATCATTGAGGTATTTTGTCTCAAGAAAAAGAAGATTTATTGTGAATCTATTCATTAACGATGATATTAAGAGGATATTGAACGCACATGAAGGCGAGAATAATGTGTTCGAGTGAACAAAGGGGTGGAAGTACTTCACATAATACTAGGGCAATCGAAGAGGTCAGATCCCCCCAATCCTCTAATGTTTTGGTCTTTGGTTTCGAACAAAGCAATGCACCAAGATTGCTTAGTCCATGGGAAGATGCACTTATCGATATAGGGCAGCAATTTGAATCGCTAGATGACTTCGGAAAAGCCCTTAGCAAGTTTGCTATAGCACACCATTTCACATATCGTCTTGTTAAAAGTGAGGGGTATCGCATAAAGGGCGAAATGCAATGGCGACATATGCAAATGGGAGATATATGCTTCGAAGTTTGGCAGGACGAATGTTTTTAGCATCAAAACATGGAAAAGAGAACACTCATGTAATATTGAGACAAGCAATGATGTACAGAGAAGAGTGTCCCAAAAATTTGGTGCATCATTAATCAAGGATAAAGTAAGTGACACTGCGCATTATAAGGCTAAAGAAATTATGAATGATTTGTCTCAAGATTATGTGTTAGAAATACCTTTACAAGGCTTGGCGAAGGAAAGAAACAGCCATCAAAGACATACATGATTCGCAAGAGGAAGCATACACAACTAGTTACTCACATATATAAAGCATGTGATGGAGACGAATCCTGGTAGTTATGCGACAGGACAAGTATGACAAGATGGTAAATTTCGTTGAACGTTTTTAAGTATTTATGGCTCAATATATGGCTTCAAAAGTGGATGTCATCCACTTCTATTTCTCGATGGGACATCATTGAAGGCACAATACCTTGAGCATTAACTCACTTGATGGAGAAGAACAAATGTTTCTCGTTGCATTCGATATTGTGGATGCCGAAAGTATCGAAATTGGTTATGGTTTATAGAATCTCTAAAGATTGCTATTGGGACAGATTGTGAAATCATTTTTTTGTCAGATAGACACCCTGGTCTAGTTGATACTGTCTGTCAAGTATTTTAGAATGTCCATCATGCCTTCTGTAAGCGTCATTTAGCAGAGAATTTCAAGAAGGAAGTAAAAGACATACCTAATGATTTCAAGAAAGCAGTTGTAAAATACTTTATCGGAGCATGTAGAGCATACAGGCCACAAGAGTATTTTGAGAAGGTAATTGAAATTAGATCAATTTCTGATTACGCATTTAAATAGTCAATGGAAGCATCGCCAGATCGTTGGGCCACATCACTCTTCAGGGATAAATGATATAACCAAGTAACAACTAATGTGGCTGAGTCATATAAAAAGTAGATTCTATAAGTTTAATGTGGCTAAGTCATATAAAAAGTAGATTCTAGAACTACGAGACATGTCAATTTTCCAATGCGTTGACTTGATTAGATGACAAATCATGAAACTAATGGCCACCTGCAGCTTGGAAGCTGAAACTCGGACTACAACACTAATCCCACACACTCAAAATGAACTAAGAAATATCATAAAGCAATTCATTTCTATTAGGGTCACTGTATACAGTGGAGCAGTGTTTGAAGCAATGGGTGATCACATGAATTATAACAGGTTTGCCCTGCAAGCATGCTTGTGAAAGCCTTCAATGGATGAATAGGGATCTCATTGACTATTGTGACGACTATTTCACGGTTGCAAAGTTTCGTGAAATATATTTCGATCCTATAGTGTCAGATACCTTGATCAATCTATCTGGGCGTATGCATGGACAACTTCCTTCAAATGGAATAAAAGTACTACCTCACTCAAGACGACCCCCTGCCTTACCTAAAAAGAAGCTCATTGAGTCGCAGAAAGTACCCGTGCAACCTATTCACTGTAGTCAGTGCAAAGGAACTGGTCACAACAGGACAACATGTAAAGTACCCACTTGAAGACATATATTTGTACTTATCTTCTTTATTCTGTCTTTTTATATTGTAGCACCTACTCATGGGAAATTTTATTATTCATATATTAATGGTGTTTGTTTATAGTATTTGTTTCTCTTGTGTTCATTTCCCACTATTAGCGCACATATATTTATGTTTGTTTCTTTTCTATTGGAGCACCTACTCTTGGGAAATTCTGCTATTACATAAATTAATGTTGTTTGTTCCATTTGTGTTCATTTCATACTATTGGCGTACATATATTATATTTGATTCTTTTCTGTCTCTTTTTTAATATGATATGCCACTTTTCTCTCTCTCTTTATTGGATATGCTACTTGTGGTTTTTTTTTTATACCAATTATAAAAATAGAATTAGCAATGCAAGACTCGGAACAACCAAGAGGCACAGGGTAGTCATCCACTTCGTCAGGTCCAAGGTAAGAGGTACGATGGTCTATTTGTTTTAGTTAATGATTTACATTAATTAAGTATTTCTCATATTATTGACTATAATCATGTCTTATTAATTTTCATTTTAGGACAGAAATATACTTCGTATTGACGAATCAACTCAAGCCCTAGCAAAATGGAAACTCAATCAACAACATGTATTTTTTATTCAAAAGATTGGATTGAGCCCATTGATGGATATTGGGTTCTCGCATATCGATTGCAATCTACTGAGGGCATTTATAGAGAAATGATGCAATGACACAAATACTGCATATCTAACCATCGGTGAAATGGCTCCAACCCAATACGATGTGTGGCAGATATTAAGGTTACTCGTGACAGGCCAACCTGTAACCGGCATCAGGCTTAAAACCTATGTTGCTTTTGTCAAGGAGTATCTAGGAGATTACCTTAAAGACGTCACCCCGATGCATCTTAATCATACATGGTTGAAGAGAAAATTTGACCAACTACCAAAAAAGCCTACCAAATTACAATTCACGCAATACATACTAGCGTATCTCTTTTATTTACTCGGCACAACTATATTTGCCAACTCATCTAAAGGATCGACGCTTACAATGTACCTGCAATTGTTTTGAGATTTCGATGAGGTAGGAAAGTATGTATGGGGTGTTGCAGTGCTTGTTTTCTTGTATTGTTCCTTGTCTAAGGTCGCATGCGGGGAAAAGAATCATTTTAGTGGGTCAGTGACCTTACTATAGGTATTTCTCACTATCTTTATAGCTCATATTTACAATATTACAATTTCTTTGGCTTCTTTTTCTAAAGTGTTGGATCTATGAGCATTTTTTAGCTCTAGCCACCAAGCTTACAATGGTCATCAACCTAGGAATGCCTAGAGCTTGCATGTGGAAGAAACAACCATGCCACAAAGACATCATTTGATAACATCTCATTTGATATGGTTAGTGGTTGGTTTATGTGCTTATATTCTAGTAGATAATCAACTTAGAAATGCCTTGGCTTGGTAGCTTATATGCTTATTTAATGTGTCATGTGTTTTTTGTAGGTGACCTCGTAATCATATGAGGAGTCACCTGAAATTGTAGAGTACTTCATGTACCGGTCATACCTCAAAAGTTTCAACATTGTAAAGTATTATATACCTGATCGCGTGCCGCGACAATTTGGGAATATGCAAGGGATTCTTGTTATGCCACCCAAGCGGGATAGGAGGGAGAAGGTTGGTATACACCTTACAAATTGGATTGAAGAATTGAGCGGACAGATAAAAGATTGGAAGCAACGAAAACGTAATGTTGTCAAGGCAACCCTAGATAAATTTGATAGTGTACCTACAAAAGAGTATATGGCTTGATACAATATGTTTTTGCAAATACTTAGAAAAACCCCCTTGTGCCCCCCATCGCAGATGCAATCCTATGTACAATTCTCCACAGATTGGTATACTATTTATTCTATGTATTTTGTTGTCTTAATATATCTTAAAATTATGAAAAATAAAACTAATGATCTATTTTTTTATTTTATTTTTCTACTTGCGGCAACATACGTGCATAGAGATGCTACAAGCTGTACTTAATGGTGAAGTATTAGTTGGGGAATTCAGCTGTTATGTATAGGCGGCTTATGATCTGCTATTGAATAACACTTTTGTAGAGATATATGCCGAGGAGATAGCACGGGCTAGAGGTGGAGAAGTGGAAAGTGAAAGTGAGAAGGACGATGATAGTGAAAGCAAAGAAGAAAACGATGACAGAGAAGAGGATGTTAAAGGCCACGATGATGGTGAGAGCAAGGATAAAAATAAGAGAAAAACAAAGAAAAAAGTTGATCTCTTGCAAGAGGAATCGATGTGGAATTTACGATCGCGAAGAGATGGGAATGCCCAGGAGGGAAGGACTATGGAGGAACCTGATGTAAGGGGAAAGGGTATTCTTAAATGACCAAAAAACGCGTTGAGGCAGAGAAATTGACCTTTTTTTTTTAGTTTGATTTGTATGTTTGAAACATATGTTAAGTAAATAATATGGTCGATATTGATTTTGATGCGACGTTTCATATATATTTTTTGGATTTGATCGGTATGTTTGAAACAGATGTTAAGTAAATGATGTGGTTTATATATATTTTGATGTTGAGTTTGATATGTATTTTGGGATTTCATATGAATGTTCGAAACAGATATTAAATCAAGGATATGGTTAGTATGCATTGATGTTTAGCTTCATACAGATTTTTTTTTTAATTATCATTTGATTGACATATCCATCTAGGAAAAATTGTTATGGTTAAATCTATTCCTTTCTCAAATAAAAATGATGAAGAAGCTGGAATGTGAAAAGAAAGCGGCCATTTCATTGTGACTGACATAAAGATTCATAGGGATTCCTTATTGTCATTTCTAAAATCTCTTAGTGTGGTGATCTTAGTTGCTATAGGCCGTCCAGCAAACCCTAGTGGAGAATGGAAAATCATTTTATTAGAAGGATATTGTTTCAAGTACCCTGCTGAGACTGCAAGTACCATAGTGAGACTACAAATTATATTCCATGTTATTGCTATTGTATTGACCCATAACAAGAACAAGTGTAATTGAATACTACATCTTAAGCAAGGTCAATTTGGTTTATTTCATAGGGCCACTCTCGCAGCAATTTTTTTTGGATACTGTAGTACCTTGGGATAAGTTATGAAGTACTGCCATCAGTGTATATAAAAACCACTCGACGAAGGTACAAGGCCCTTGGCTGAGTCGAGTGGACTCGACTGAGCCCTAGTGCACTGATTGATATAGATGCCATTAATTCTCCAAAATTATATTTGTTTTGAATATAAGAACACTGGATTAATGCAAAATTTCCATCATGAATGGCTTTGCAATGTGAGAACCAAATTACATCCACATTGCATGCATATTGGAACCATTTATCCAAACGGATTTAGCCATCAAATCCTTCTGCCACTTAAAAACAGTGTCTCCACCACCTAAAAGCAATACGTAACTCCAGGTCTCCTTATTATTAGCCAACATGTAACACCACCCAAAAGAAAAAAGAACAAAAAAAAAAAAAGTTGAGAGACATAGAGAGAAAAGGGTCCGTCAATCTATGAGGGCGATCCAGAATAAAGAGTTTCTGGAATCACAGCGCTCCGGCACTGTGTAAGTGCAATCCGGCAGTACATGTTCAGGAGTCACAGTGCTCCGACAATTTCAAAGGACAGTCCGGCAGTACATGTTCTTGAGTCACAGTGATTCGGTAGTTGCAAAGGGAGGTCCAACAGTAGAACTTCTGAGTCACTGCTCCAATAGTTGCAAAGGGATGTCCAGCAGTGCATGTTCTGGACTCACAGCGCAGTTGCAAAAGGCGGTCCGACAGTAGAACTTCTGAGTCACAGTGCTCCGACAATTGCAAAGGGGGGTCCGGTAGTTCATATTCTGCAGTCACAGCGCTCCAACAGTTGCAAAGGGCGGTCTATCAGTACATGTTCTGGGATCATAGCACTCCAAAAGTTGCAAAGGGCGGTCCGTCAATACATGTTCTAGAGTCCCAGCACTCCAACAGTTTCAAAGGGCGGTACAGCAATACATGTTTTGGGGTCATAGTGCTCCAGTAGTTGCAAAGGGCGGTCTGACAGTAGAACTTCTGAGTCACTAGGCTCAGACAATTGAAATGGGCGGTCCATCAGTACATGTTTTGGAGTCACAACACTCTGGCAGATGCAAAGGTCAGTCTGACAGTAGAACTTCTGTGAGTCATAGCACTCCGGCAGTTGCAAAGGGCTGTCCGACAGTACATGTTCTGGAGTCGTAGTGCTCCTGTAGTTGCAAAGGGCGGTCCAGCAGTACATTTTTTGAAGTCATAGCACTCCGATAGTTTCAAAGGGCAGTCCGGCGATACATGTGTTGGAGTCACAGCGCTCCGGTAGTTGCAAAGGGCGGTCTGGCAGTATTCAGTTTCTGCCCGACAATGCGATGGTACGCTCCAGCAATGTGCTACTGGGGTCCAATAGTCAACGTCAAATCTGGCCAAATTGATTTTTTTTTTAATGGAAAGGGCATTTCTATCAAAAAAATGAAAAATTTCCCTTGGGGGTATTTGCGTAGAAAATTTGTTTTGGGAAAAAAGTGAGAGGATAAGTTAGGTTGGGGGTAAGTTGCATATAAAGGGTAGTCTTTGGGGTTTTTTATAATTTTCATAAGAAATATTATAGAGGTATCCTAACAAAATCCAACAATTAAATAAGCATCTTGTAAAGTCAGGAGAGAGGTTGACTCATTTAAAGGCGGCCAAAAAGAAAAAACAAAAGGAAAAAGTTTATATAAGGTTGCAACCTTATATGTAGAACTACGGATGTACCTCAAAAATCCATCGAAAAAAGTAGTTTTAATGTCGAAAAACCCTTTGATTGCTCATCTCGATATCAAGATGTATGAACATCACAAATAAAAAGATTTTAAGTCTCAGAAATAGTGCATTTTACAACATGTTATCTACACCGTTCATTTTCAAGATTTTCATATGTTCATAGTTCTACTTGATTTTCACCATTTTTCAAACTTAAAATTTTATAATTAGATATAAAAATAGATTTTGAGATAATCCTAAGGACGTTTTACATCAAAATTATATACCATGATAAAATTTGAAGGTGTACTTTACGTCTACAGCTGCGGATGCGTCCGTATTCCAACCAAAAACAAAAAGAGCAAGAAAAAATATGAAAACATTGTAACATTAGTGGATGTCTATGGAGTAGAAGATAAATATAATATTTACATATTGAGGAAGGGGAGCAGATGGGATACAGTACTAGGCAATGGGGATTTGGCAAATGCAAAATGGTCTATGGACTCTTAGTTTCCTATGATCATTAGGCTATGATTCAAGAAAATAAATACTAGATAACTCTTTAAGAAGGAAGATTGATGGATGTATCAAGTAGGAATTTCTTTCAATGCTATTTAACTAAAGAATTCCCTAGCTATCTTGGAAGCAATCCAAGTTTGAACCATGGTTAAAGGCATCTCAGGGAGCCTCTACTAAAAATGATTTAGAACTCACAAATAAGTGCTTCAAGACCCACAATAATGTATGGGGAATGAAAGAAACATGGATGAATAGGATGGAAGAATAAATGTGAACTTTCAAGTGAATTGTCCAATGTGGACAATGTTTGTGAAGTGAGTGTTGCATATGAGAATATTCATGATGCTCCTATATAGGATTCATGGAAAGTTGTGGTAATATTTACACTAGCTGCTTACCTAACATAACTCTTCTCTACCTAAATCATAGAACCGGCATCGACGAGCAGGGGACAAGCCATGGCAGAGTTATTCAAGTAGTTACAAATATGTGAGCTATAACTATGCAGCTAACAATCCGTTGGTGCTAATATGGCCACAAATTTTTTTGACACCCTTTATAGTGCCATGCATGGATCTAAGGCAATAAACGAGTTGAAAGTGATAAATACAACATTGAAGAAAGCAAGAGCCACCCATGTTTTTGTATTCTGCAGCACCAAAGTCTTGTCATGATAAGGAGGAAGTTGATAAGTCAAGGGTGACTAGATTTTCTACTTATCATTTAACACTATGATCTATATTGGCTCCAAAAGATAAACTCAGGATCATGTTTGCCTTTGAAGAATGAACCCAAAGCAAGTACTCTAGAAATGCAAAAGGAAAAGTGCGATTAATAATTTATTGCAAATTTAGTTTCATAATGTCATTGTCTACTCCCTCGAAGCATTTGACTCATTGGTAATCATCCAAGGTGGACAGCAGAAAATATTGGATTTGGAGTCCGCCCCTTCGTGGGTGGAAAAGCATCTGTGATATTTTCAACATTCTTAATAGCTAATTGGAGAAAATGGTGTCCATGGAATTTAGACTTGTTAATGGTAGAAAGAAAAAATATGACAGTTCTATATAATATGGGATTTCTAAATAGAGATAAAGTTAATTTAATGGTGCATTATCTAAAAAAGATAAGATAACTCCATTTTTAGATAAAATTTCCTTTTGGGATATTTTTTAGAACGAGTGTTAAAGATAGATAAACATGAAGAGATTTTTACATGGGATTGTATTATCTCTCCTAAAAGGCTCGGGATTTCTGTTGTGTATACTATATTGTCTTTTCTAGTAATCGATTGTTGGCTTTGGGATGTGAGCATTGAGCTCTCGAACTGAAAGACAAACGTAAAAGAGAATATTCGAAGACCTGTGGGAGTTCAGAATGGCTCAGGGAAATTTTGTGCACGCACAAGTACGAACAATTTGCTCTCAGGACGCTGGGGCAGGCCAAAAGGTACACATGGTGCACTCTGCCGCCATGGTCCCTTGGTAGTCCACCACGAAAGACTACCAAGCACCTCCATGCAGGCACGTGTAGACCCGCGCGGTATTGTGCATGTGCTAGCGTGCACCGCCGTTGGTCCAGAAAGGTGATCCACAATGCATCAGCAGGACCACGTAATCATCGTGGACTTTGGGTTGTTAGCCGAGACTGCACACAGTATTGTGCGACTGCAGACACGTGTGTTATGTGCGGCTTCGACCATTTCATCTGAGGCCGCACTTTGTAAGGTGCATCCACAGAATCACAGTAGTGTAGTGCGGCTTTGGTACTGTGACCTAATATCGTACAAAGTTTTCTTGCAGCTGGAGACTTTTGTGTTCTTGTGCGGCTCTGACCCATGTTCCCTAGGGCCACGTGTTTATTGTGATTATGCAACTGCACATGGTTTAGTGCGGCCGCAACCTCACTGTACATGCCTTTTTTTATGAATCTACAGTGACACTATTCCAATGCATCCTCATACTTTTAGGGGCATATATTACGTCCGGATGTCCATTTTTTGGCAAATCTTATCTTTTTTTTGGGCATCTCCAAAAGCTGGATGTAACCGGCAAGATCTCATCTACTTATTGTATCTAGGAAAACATGTTTTGGCCCTAAAATCATATTTTAAGCCCCATTTGTTATTTGTTGTGATCCAATCTTCGATGCTACTAGGGCGTAGGCAATCTCATTGCAAGTCATGTGGGATCATAGACTAGGATCATTTGCTTTTTTAATTTGGCATTTCACATCCGGGATGCAATCACTTCCTTGATAAGGACTAGGAGCCTTGCTCTTGAGATTTGCTCGGATGTTGATTACTAGCCCTAGCCCCTATATTTCTTTGTGAAATTTTTGCTTTCGATTGCTTTAGAAGTAGGACTTTTATGGTTAATGAAGGCTCAAGGAAGTATTAGAAACAAGGGAAAATTACTAAAAACACTCCAAATTGTACTTTCTAAACACTTTACCTCCACCTTAATTTTTTCTCACTAAAATTTTTCAAAATTTAACTTTTATAACTAATACCTCCAATCTCAAAAAAATTGAAAACAAGACAAGTTGCCTTTCACTTTTTAACCTACCAAATTTACACTCCATATGGAATGCACTCTGGAGAATAGTTCACTGTTAAATAGGCAGTCTGGCACTTATAAAATGCGCTTCGACAACTTTAGAATTCACTCCAGCAATTGATGAACTCGCTCTAGCGAATAGTTGACTGTAAAATAGGCATTCTGGCACTTGTAAAACACACTTTGGCACCATTAGAATGCACTCCAGCATTTAGTGAACTCACTCCGGTGGGTAGTTCACTGTAAAATAACAACTCCGTCACTTGTGAAGAGCGTTCCCGCATGTGAAAAATATCGAACCGGCAGTTTCCTCCCTTGAAATTTTACAGTCCGGCGATTCACTGCATCAACCCAGCGATATGCTTCCTGGAAACACAGGCACTCCGATGAATACACTGAAGTAGTCCGGCATAGTTGAATATGGCTATGTCAAATAGTCTGGAGTTTTGGAGCTTCAATCCGTTAATTACGTTCCTGACGGGTCTGTCCGGTCATGTCTTTGAGCAGTCTGGCGATTTGTTTAATGTGCAGACCGGTGATTTGTAATATAACTCCGATAACGTTACTACTGGAGTGGGTTCAATCTGGTGTTTTAGATATTCGATCCGGCATATTGTTGTCTCATAAGCACTCCGGTAGTTTAGAAACTCAGTCCGGTGAAAGGTTTATTGGGGCCCGTCCGAAGGATTTGGTCATACGTTCAAGTTACGAGAAGGGGTATTTTTGTTAAATAAAATATACCTTTTTCAGATGGGGGGTATTAGTTAGAAAAGATGGTTTTTACCAAAAAGAAGTGAAAAAAGATTGAGGTGGGCGTAAAGTGTTAGGAAAGTATAATTTGGGGTGTTATTAGTAATTTTTTCTAGAAACAATGATACTTTTTTTGTGAATGGGCACCTGTGTGAACAAACGTCTACCAATTTTTTTGTTTGCTGTGATTTTCTGTCCTCATTCCTGGACATACACTGCTAGGTCATTCATATGTTTGGATTGCCCATATCCTTAGGGGGGAATGTTTAGATGGTGGGAGCTTTCAAATATCCGAGTTTCTCCAGTAAGCAGGCATTATTGAAAATCCAACCCTCAGCATGGAGCGCCCTAAGGTATGGGTAGACGATTTGGGTTTGTCACTAGATGGAGACTTGTCCATGCCCAAGCGTCAGTGGAGTTGGATAAGTATAGATTCTAAATACACTCACTTGGACAAATTTGGGAATAAAATAAAGGACTAGAATCCAGGTAAATACAACATTTAAAGTTTCATTGTGAATTCGTGACTGGAGTGCTTCGTAACTTGACTACATTTTATGTAATGCAGCTTCATGTTGGCCACACACGAGGAAAGCGCCAAGCATTTACGATAACCATGCGCACTTTGAATTTGACTTGAAGCTTGATTTGTTTAAGGTTGAGGCTCTAAATAATCCAGCGCACCTTGAAATAGTGTCGAAAGATATTATTTTAGTACTGTAACTTTTTGTGGTGGCCTAAAAATTTATTTTCATCTCCAACTATAAAATTTAAAGCTTAAAAATAGTGTATATCGAGCATATCTATAAACACTTGATAATCTTCAAAATTGACACTCAAGAAAATGCATTACAATATGCACTATTTTCAAGACTTGAAATCTATTTTTTCTGAAGTTCATATATCTTGAAGTCGAGATGATCAATTCAATGATTTTTGAACATCGAAACAACCTCTTCTAGTGAATTTTTGAAGTGCGCCGTAATTTGATTGTTTAGGGCCTCACCCTTATATAAAAGTTTTCCTATTACAATAATATATTCATGGATTACCTAATTGATACATACAAAGAAGATAAACGAGCTCAAGGAAAAGATACATATCATTCCTATTTATGTTCAGCACACTCAGTTGTTAAAGGAGCCCTATAAAGGGTGTCATATCAAATTGACCCCATTTCTATGATATATGGATAATTTCATTTAGCAGTTTGCCAGTACTGAAGAAAATGCAATATTTCCTGGAAAGAGCTTGAGTACTGGATCTAAGCACGAGGCTGAAGAACCTCATTGAGCCCAATGCAGACCACTAGATCTAAATCCAAAAGGAAGGCCAGGAGCCCAATGCAGACCACTAGATCTAATTCCAGAAGGAAAGGCAGGAGTACAAAGAGAAGGATCATAGGAAGTAGGTTAACTTACGAGGAGCCTAATGGAGCATACCAAGGGAGATAACTCTGATGATGATGGTAACATGACATTATTGTATTCAAAATAGTCGGGTGCTGATCTTGATGCTGGTGGTGATAGTAATGATGAAACCCATTTTGAAATTTGCATTAATAAAATTTGTTGCCATATTTTATGTTGCAATTTTCGAGTCTCGAGTTATGGCTTTTGATGTGAATTGTGGATCGTGAATCTTTGGCTTGTAATGACATTATTATTGTAAAATATTTGATAATCCATACAATTTTGTATGAATCTTGAGCAAGCTTCAATCTTCTAAAATTTTAGCAATTCAAGTTTCAAACTCAGTACGGAATGGTACAACACAATAATGCACACATAACACCATAAATATAAAACTTCTCAATTACATATTTTACATACCCTCAAAGCCCATGCCCTGATTGGGCTGCCTCCAACACTGGAAGCCTGGTCGCGTTGGCCACCGAATCTGTCTTTTGAAATCCTGGCATTGTCCAAGCTTCTTATGGCAAAAATGATCTAGGTAAAGTGTAGGACCATCAATAAGAAGGGCAAAAAGAAGGGGTATTACAGCCACAAATTTTGAGGAGACAAGAATGTATAAAATTGTGAGTGAGTGAGATAGAAGAGATTGTAACAAGTTGATCGAGAACTCGAGATCGAGAGAGAGAGAGAGAGAGAGAGAGAGAGAGAGAGAGAGAGAGAGAGAGAAGAAGAGACTACTAAGTAACGTAGGTAGGTTACGTACGTCGTCGTCGTACGTACGTAACTAAACGTAACTATAGTTAGTTACGTTACTCGTCGTACTACGTTAGTTTAGTAGTACGT